CTCTAAAACGAAGTGACAAGAGCTCAGAATAGGAAATAAAAACATTTCTGGACTCTCACGATTCCCAAACCTCCAAGAACACCCCTGTCCTTCCCTGCTGTGCTCATCCAGCCCCTAAAGCAGTGCAGCCACAGAGATCTCACCAGCAGGCCGTGGCCAGGAGCTTGGAGTTGGGGCTGAAGTGGCAGTAGGACAGCGGGCGATCGTCCCCGATCTGGCTGCAGAAGTTATTGAGGGACTGTAAAAACACAAAGAAAACAATCAATGACTGGAGTACAGCCAGCCCAGAGCAAGGCCCAGCGAAAGCCAAAGCCTGAGGTGATGGAGCCAAATGTGTGCAGGAGGAGGCAGAGGCCCCTGGAAAGTCACATTCCAAGGGAGGAGCTGCCTCAGAGCCGCTGCAGCTCCACGTGGGTGGGCCAGGGCCAGCCTGGCCCAGGGGAGCCAGCACGGCCTGGGGGCTCAGCTCAGCCCCCCAGGGCCACCCATGGTACCTGTCCCCACAGCCCCCAGCTCTGCAGCCCTGACACAGAACTGCCTGGAGTTTGGCCTCTTTCCACAACTCATCCAATGAACCCAACCAGACAGATGGACAGGCAGTGTAGGGCACGGAGGGGAGAAGCAAATCCTCTGGCAGCTGATGGCTCTGGAGCAAACAGGATTAGGGGGGCAGCACATGCTGTGCCTGAGCCTCTGCTTGGTTAAGCTGGGAATCTGGCTTAGTGTGCTCGGAAAGGGCACCTGGGAGCCACCCCAGTCATGCTCTGCCCCACGGAGCTGGGTGTGATCTCCAGGGTTTTATGTCCCTTCCCAGCCAGCCAAACCCAGCCAAAGCCAGGAATACATTCCTTTAGCTTCACAGCCAAGTGGTAAGGCAAGGCAGGGATGTCTCTGATCCCTCTGCCACACACAGGGACAAAATCCATCTCCCTGGATCACCATGCAGGAGTCAGAACATGCTTTACACAGACAGGGAGAGAGGAAAAGCAGAGCCTCCCAACAGCTCAGAGACCAGGGTGCACCTGGGGCAGCTCAATTCCTGCTGAGCTCTCTGCAGGATCACAGCAGGGGGACAGTGCCCAACATACCCGCAGGGATTTGTGCAGCTCCTGCCTCTGGGATGTCCTGGTGGCCTCAGGAATTTCCTTGAGCAGCCGGGCCTCCTCCAGCCGCTTTGCTGCCCTGGGAACAGCATAGGGGAGGGATGAGCTCCTTCCTGCATTCCCCTTTCCCTGCATTCCCCCTTCCCTGCTCTGCAAACACGCCCTGCCCTCCTCCTCCTCCCCCAAACTGGGCTAATGCTGGATCAGTCCCCGAGAGTTCAAGCTCTGGGCTCTCTGGAGTTGCTTCCCAGTGTGTGCTCCCCACTCCCTGGCTTTCCAGTGGTACCCACAGTGGGATCAGCCCTTGGAGTTGACAAATGGCTGCATGTCCCTCCTCATTTGTGCAGTTCCCTCTCACCTGGGCAAGGAGTAGTTTGCCAGCCACAGCCTGGCTGTTTTCAGACTCCGTGGGCCCTCGTGGTACCAGGTTTGCTGATACTGTAAAAACAGGAATAAAAGTGATGGAAAAGCTCCTCCGCTCACTCCCCTCAGCTGCCTCCTCACAGCACTTGCTCCCAAACCCTGCTGGGCTCTGGCCCCTTTTTAAGGCCATTATGCACCAGTATAAGCCCCAGAAAAAGGGATTAAGAGAGATAAACCACAGTCTCTGCCCTATGGATCCGATCCTGACACACTGCCAGGAACATTCCAACTGAACACTGATTGGGTTGGACTTACTGACACATAACTCCTGTTTTACACATCACCCAGTAAAGAGAGAGCCCAGAGCTGTAGAAATTATTTCTTAAAGCACAGCTCAAAAATAATACAGAAAAATGGACTCAGAAGAGACAGAGGCAGAAAGAACAATCAGAGGGAGAAAGAGATGCAGCAGTAGGAACGTATTTTTTTCTTCCCAAGCGTGAAGACAACCAAGAATAAAGAACCTGCTATGGTGAGTGAGAGCCCAAACACCTGCTCTCCTGGTTTGCACACTGAGTGCAGTTCAGAACTTGGCCTGGGGGTGCAAACCACACTTGGTGCTCCTCACTGAGACCAAACATTGCCACAGGTCTACTAAAAGGGAGAACACAGGAAAAGCCTGAAGGGGTGACATGAGAATCCACACACTGACCAAAACCAGGAGGCCTGGATCTACCAGAGACCAGATCTCTCCCTCAACTCTGAGAGGACAGGAAACCCCCTTACCTCTTCTTTGGACTTTTTTGACCTGTCATCATCCTTCCTGGTCTTCTTTAACGCGTCTGTGCCGACCACTGAGAGGATATTTCTCAACCTGGGAAGAAACACGTGAAGTTGGATTTAGTCAGTGATTCCTCAGCTCACCTGACAAATCATCAGTGAGACCTTCCTTCTGCCTTGGGGTTCTTAGAATAGATTAACAGGCTGGTTTGGGTTGGGAGGGACCTCAAAGCTCATCCCATTCACCCCCTGCCATGGGCAGGGACACCTTCCACTAGCCCAGGTTGCTCCGAGCCTCGTCCAACCTGGCCTTGGACACTTCCAGGGATGGGGCAGCCACAGCTTCTCTGGGCAACCTGTGCCAGGGCCTCACCACCCTCATAGGGAAGAATTCCTTCCCAATATCCCATCTAGCCCTGCCCTCTGGCACTGGGAAGTCATTTTCCCTTGTCCTGTCCCAAGTCCCTCTCCAGCTCTCTTGGAGCCCCTTTAGGCACTGGAAGGGGTCTCCCTGGATCCTTCTCCCCAGACTGAACACCCCCAGCTCTCCCAGGAAAACAGCAGGAATGTGGTAGCCACGGAGTGCCCCCCAGCAGACACAGCACCTCTCCCTGCGCTCTGCAGGCCCCTCTCCAAAGAGGGTGATGGGCTCCCCCAGGGCCCTCAGGCAGGCCTTGACCTCGGCGTCGTCCGTGGACACGTTGATCTGCCGCGCGCGCTTCCGCCGCTCAAACTCCGCCAGCACCTCGGCCTGGCGCTCGCTCAGGTGGTCCTCCAGGTCAAACACCTCCCCTGGCACAGAGAAAACACAGCTGGGCACAGGGGGGACACCAGGGAGACACCAGGGATCGAGGAAGACACCAGGGAGCACAGGATAACAATCACAGGGCAGCCACCAGGGAGCACAGGGAACCATCAGGGAGCACAGAGGAGCCACGAGTGAGCCAGCAGGGAACACAGGGAGACACCAGGGATCACAGAGAGCCACCAGGGAGCACAGGGGAGCCACCAGGGAGCACAGGGGAGACATGAAGGATCTCAGGATCACAGGGAAGCCGCCAGGGAGCACAGGGAGAAACAGGGAAATACAGGATCACAGAATCACTGGATCAATGATGGCTCAGGCTGGAAGGGCCCTCTGGAGCCCACTCAGCCCAGCCCCTCTGCCCAGGCAGGGTCACCCACAGCAGGTGACACAAGAACACATCCAGGTGGGTTTGGGATGTCCCCGGAGAGGGACACTCCACACCTCCCTGGGCAGTTGTTCCGGGGCTCTGCCACTGGATCCCTCCCACATGGGAAGATCCAAGGGGCCCATCCTGTTCCTGCTCTGAGATGGTGCCCAGAGACGTTGGGAAGTGTCACATCTGACAGGAGGGATAACAACAGGCATTTGGAAGTGTCACATTTCACGAAGGGAATAAAACAAAGGGCGTTTCCATCCTCACCACTGCTGATGTTGATGTTCCCAGCCTCCAGGGCAGCCTTCATGCCCTCCTTGCCCAGCAGCCCTGGCTCCCCCTTGGCCAGTCTCTCCCTCTCCTTCTCCTCCAGGCTCCCATAGAAGATCGGGGCTCTCTTGGCCGGGGGGGCATCACCCTCCTCGGTGGCCTTGGCCTTGGGGGGCTGCAGGGACATGAATAGTTTGGGTACAAAGAGACAACAAACAGCCTGGCTGTGCCAGGGAAAATGGGGTGTGAAACATGGAGAGGCCCTGGAATGGGGTTTCATGGAATCACACACTGGGTTGGGTTGAGAGGGAACTTAAAGAGTTCATCTCATTCCACCCCTGCCAAGAGCAGGGACACCTTCCACTCGACCAGGTGACTCCAATCTGGCCTTGGACATTTCCAGGGATGGAGCAGCCCCTGGACAGCGAGGTTATTTATGTCCCAAGGGCAAAAGTATAATGCCACGTTAAACTGCATCCATCAGGCTGTGCCGTGTCCTTGTTTATTTTCTGCACGGAGCTCGGGTTTAAGGCCCTGCGGGATTTATTTTTTGACGAAGCTTTAGAACACGAGGCTTCTCCTCCTCCCGCTGAGCCCCAGCACAGCCGTCCCCGAGCTCCTGGAAGGCGGGTGAAGGTGAGCAGTGCCCGGCTCCTTCCCCCGCCGAGGGGCGGCACAACCCCCCGGAAAAAATTAAAGGATTCGGAAAAACATGCAGGAAAAAACGCGAGCGCTCCGGCCCCGGCCTTTTGAACGGCTCCGGCGGCTCCGCAAACCCCACACGGCAGCAGCCGCCGCGACCCCCGCGCGGCCCCTCCCGCGGTGCCGCTGCCACATGCGGGAAAAGGGGCCGGGGCCGTCCCCGCGCCCCGGACACACCCACCTCGGGGGGCCGGGCCCCGGCTCGCGCCGCCGGAGCCCGCGCGGCGGCCATGGCGGGAACGGGACCGGGAACAGCACGGGGAAACGGGAAAAGAACGGAAAATGGGACGGGAATGGGACTGGACGCGCTCGGCATCCAGCGCCTCACGGGCACTTCCGGGTCGCGCGGTGCACGCCGGGAGGTGTGGCGGAGAGCGCTGAGCGCGGAGCACGCCGGGAGGTGCGTTGTCCGCTGAGGGCGAGACGAGCGAGGCACGCCGGGAGGTGCGGCAGGGCGGGCGGACAGCAGCAGGCGCGGGGCACGCAGAGAGGTGTGGCAGGGAGGGCGGGGCGCGCGAGGCACGCCGGGAGGTGCATTGCCCGCTAAGGTGGGAACGCGCGAGGCACGCCGGGAGGTGTGGCAGGGAGGGTGGGGCGCGCGAGGCACGCCAGGAGGTGCATTGCCCGCTAAGGGCGGGACACGCGGGGCACACCGGGAGGAGTGGCGGGAGCGCTGAGGGCGGGAGACCTCGGGCTGGTCCCGGGGCCGATCCCGGTGCCGCTGTCGCCGGTCGCGATGCTCCGTCGGAAGCCGACGCGGCTGGAGCCGAAGCTGGACGACGTCGAGGAGTTCGAGAGCGTGCGGAAGGAGCTGGAGGTGCGCGTGGGGCCGGGCGCGGCGCTCCCCGGGCGCGCCCCCCGGCCCTGACCGGCCCGTTCGCCCGCAGGGCCGCAGGAAGCAGCGCGACGAGGCGGAGGCGGCGGCGGGCGGGGAGGAGGCGGCGGCGCTCGCGCTGGGCACGGAGCACAAGAGCCGCGAGCAGCTCATCAGTGAGCGCATCGGGTACAAACCGCAGCCCAAGGCCGGCGGGCGGACCGCGCACTTCGGCACCTTCGAGTTCTGAGCGCGGCGCCGGGGCCGCAGCGCCGCCCGGAGGGGCCTCGCCCTCCCCCCTCGGCGCTCTCCCTTTTCGGTTGCCTTAGTTTTTTAAGTTCGGTTAACACACCCATGAACGCTCCTCTTGGCCCAGTGTTTTGTTTTAAATAAACACGTCTTTAAAAAAAAAAAAACAAAAAAACAAAACATCATAACAAGCACACGATTGTTAAATCGTGTTAATTGTTAAGCATTGCTGGAAATGGGAACACCTGGAGGTAAAACCCTGCGGGAGGATCCTCGGGGATCGGGTGATTTGCTGATCCTAAACCAGCCCCTGGGATGTTCCATGGGAACCTCCAGCCCTGCCCACCGAGGGGAAGGTCCTGGGAGGTGTCTGATGGGTGGTTTGGGTTGAAGGCAGCGGTTCCACAGCTCTGGGTGCTCAGGCTCTGCTTCCAGGTGCTGCCCTGCCCTCTCCTGAGGAGGCAGGAAAGAATCCCCTGTGTCTGTTAAACGTGTCCCAGAGCTGCTTCCCAATCCGTGTCACAGCTGGGCCCTGAGCGGGGAATGGCTGCACACCTGGATGTTGCACTGGGCACATGGATATGATGGAATGATATCCCACGTTTCCTGACTAAGCAGTTTTTCCTTTACAGTTCCTCCTTCCACCTCTGTGTCACCTCAGCTGCCCTGGTTTGTCACCCTGGGAATGGAGCCCCAGGGACTGTTACTGCTTGCATCAAAGATCACCAAGTATTTCCTTATGGATGAAAAGCCCAAAGGAAGAGTGATTTTTTCAGCACATCCCTGGATTTACCCCCATCAATGCCTGGGCTCTGGAAGGTGAGACTGGGGGCAGAGCCCCACAGAGGAGGGGACAGACTCTGACACAGAGTGAGAGGACTTGAAGGAAACAACTTATAAAATCTGAGCAGATGGTGGTGTTTAGGAAACCCTGCTCCCTGCAACCCTGGGACCTGCACCAGGACACCCACAGGGGATTTAGGAGCTGTTTTCTACCATCTTCCAGGACAGCTCCAGTTCTGTTTTTTCAGTGTCCCAAGCAATGCTCCAAACTGGATTTTAGTTACACTGAGGCTTCACGTGTTGTAGATGCCCCAAATGTGCAGAACTTAAATGTTTGTTTTCCAGCTGGGAAGAGCCACAGCCTGGCCTGGAGCAGAGCTGCCTTTCCTGTCTGACACCACATGGAATGATCGGGGATTCTCTGCTGTCCTGGCATTCCCAGCAGGGCCCAGCTCTGAGAGGGCAACACCTCAGGAGGTTGTTACAGCTCCCTGAATTCCTGTCCTGGATTCTTCCCTGTCTAGGGAAGGCAGCTCTGTGAGACACCAACTCCTCTCTCCATCACCTGCAAAGTGTGACTGGCCTGGAACAAACAGAAACCCAGCATCAGTGACTTCCCACATTCCCATTCCAGCAGCTCCAAGGTGAATTGCTCAGGCCCAGAGGACTCTGCTCCTCATTCCCACCCCCTGAACAGGGACACTGGGCCCTGCTGCTCCCTCTGAGGGGGGCACTGAGGATTGTCTCTAAAACACACCCCCACCACAGTAAAATGCAATCTAGTTTATTGGTTAATTATATACAGGGAATTCTTGATATTCACAGTAACATCAGACGAGTTACCTCCACAAAGAGCAAGAGCAAAACCAAAAATGACAGTCCACTGTAAACAAAACTAGAAATCCTGCTGCGTTTGGTGGGACTGGCTCCAGACAAACTCAAAAGGCACTGAAAGGAAAACAAAAGCCTGCTGAGGGACACAGCTGGATACTCTGTGCTCCCTCCAGGATGATGATCCAGAGGCACAGTGAGTGGAGACCAAACATCAGGGACACAGCAGGCACAGGACATTACAGCCCAAGATGATACATGTGTGTCAACAGGAATTTACTTACAACCATCAGAGCCCTCAGCTCCCTGTGTTACAGGACAACCTTAAATTCGGGCAGCAGAGGGGCTGGGGCTGCCCCAGAGCAGATCCCACCCACAGGGAGGTCAGGCTTTGCTCAGGCTCTGCCAAAGCACAGGGCTGGCAACACACAGCCAGTGGGATCTGGTGGGAAGGGGGAGGTTGGGACACAGAGAGGTGGCTCCTCTGGATTGTCACACTGAACTAAGGAAAGCACAGCCCCAGCAGGCAGGGACACACAGACAGGACACATCCCTTCCCCAGCTGTGCCTCTGGCAGCGAGCCCAGGAGCAGGGAGGACACAGCCACTTCCCTCCACACCTTCCCTGGGCATCCCAGGCTCCCAATGCTCCAGACAGGCTGTGGGAGGCAGCTGGAGCACCTGCCAGCCCCCTGGGAGACTCCTGTCACTGAGGTCAATGGCACTTCCCTGTCATACTGGAAAAAAGGAGATTTTTTTTTTTTTAGCTCTTTAGGCACATAAAGCTGTTAACTCAGCTCCTTTTAATCTCTTTTTGCACTGCCCAGAGAAAAGAGGATGTCCAAATGAACAGCTGGCATCAACCCAGGAGGGCTGCCTTTAGGAGGTGCAATTCCAGTGCTGGCAGCAGCAGTAATGGATTTCCTTCCCAAGAGGGTGCTGAGGGTGGGCTCTGTGCTGAGGCAGCAGCAGCAGCCCCGTGGAGCCCCCAGGAGCAGGGATGGCTTTGCCCTGGCAGGCTCCCAAGCTGAAAATTTAAATTCAGCCTCTGTGTTGCCTGAATTTAAAGGTGTCCTGGTAACAGGGAGGTGAGGGCTCTCATGGTTAGGAGACTGAGGACATGCAATTCCTGTGTCAACACACATGTAGCATGTTTGGGGGTGATGTCAGAGCAGACAAAGCTGAGTCCTCTCTGGTGTGAGCAGGGGCAGGAGAGGAGCCCTTGAAGGCAGAGGTTCTCATCCAGGGGGAAACAATTCCAAGGGCACAGGTGCTACATGGAGAGCGAGGCAGAGAAGCAAACAAGAACCAAATTTACACTGTAAGAGCCACAGCCTGATCTCCAAGTCATCCACCTCTGATCAGTCAGAGAATTCGAGTCTGGTCACTTGGATACACGGAAAGGTGGTGAAAGGTGACAGCAGGGTCAGGCCAAGCAGGTTGTGGTTCAAAGAAAGACACAGCAAGAGGTACATGAAATAATTATTGTCACCATAGAAAGCCACTCCTGACTATTCCCTGTGCTCAGCCATCCTGTAACGGCACCAACTCCAGCTCCTTCCAGACCAACCGATGGGAACAGTGCTGGAATCGTTGGCTCTGAGCTCCTTCAGGGGTCGAGCCCCACAGTGCAAACCATCCCCATCATCACCCACATCTCCAGCATTTAGCAGCTCCAGTTTTCCCTGACAAACACCAGGATTTCCTCTGAGCTCTCCCAGGGCTGGGAAGGGATTGTCAGTTTTCTCTGCCAAACACTAACGTTGCTCTCAGCCCTCCCAGGGATGGGAAGGGGCAGTTTTCCAGTCCCATGGAGAACCACAGTTGCTTGGAGGGCACAGCAGAGAAACTTCCCTGTGACAGGAGCAGAGGGCACCAGTGGGTTTGCAGCCTGTCAGAGACATAACTCCCTTCAAAGACCAGACTGGGGAAGCGTTTTTCCTGTCTCTCACCAGGAGGTGGCCGGAACTTTTCCATGAAAATAACTTTGCCTCTTTCACCCAGTAACCAGGAACCTAAACCTGCTTTTAACTCAGCTCCTTTTATTCTCTATTTGCACTGTCCAGAGAAAACAGGATGTCCAAATAAACATCTGACATCAACCCAGGAGGGCTGAATTTAGGTGCAATTCCAGTGCTGGCAGCAGCAGTAATGGATTTCCTTCCCAAAAGGTGGAGAGGGTGGGCTCTGTGCTCAGGGAGCAGCACCAGCACCATGGAGCTCCCAGGAGCAGGGATGGCCTTGCCCTGAAAGGCTGCTGGGCTAAAAAGCCATTCCAAGGATCCCCTTTCCTCACACAGCTGCTGCCAACAGTCACCAGCAGCATCTCCAGAGGAAAAAATGCTCCCGTGTCATCCCAGAAGGATTCCCTGTTCTCATGGCACATCCCAGACACCAGTCCTGCTCTGAAAGTGGTGCCTGTTCTCAGTGCCCTTCTCAAATTCCAAATGTCTTCCCTTTCAGCCAGTTACAGGCACAAACTGGGCATCCCGTGGAGAGTGAAGACTCCAGCTTTGCTCCACATTCCCTACACCAACCAGCAGCTTAATATCCAAGTGCTGAACCACAGCTGCTCCCCAGGATCCCCAAAGCCAGCCCTGAGCTGGTTGTGCCCCTCTCAGAGCCCTGTGAGATGTGCAGAGCTCACAGCACTCAGCAAGAGCTCTGCAGCCCCAGCATGGGCACAGTGGGATTGTCGGGACAAAGAGGAGTCATCTGGCTCAGGAATACTTTTTAACCAGCCCAAGCTGCTCCAAACTTCACCTGAGAAGAGACTGAAGGCTGCTGTAGTCCTGTGTTTCCCTTGTCCTCTTCCCCAAATCTCTCCTTTACAGGAACGTGGTTGTTTAACCCCTTCAGCTCCATCCAGGAATTCCCTCTCCAGCCATTTTAACTTTAGTGTCATGAAATCATTATTCAGCTCTAGCCTCATTTACAGAACTAGTTTTAGTAACCCCAAAGTCTAGCTCTGGATCCATCCTGGTGCAGTTCCACATGAAGTACCTGCAGGTTCAATGGTTTATTTAGAATTTTTTGCCCTGTAAATACACAGCTTGTCCTGTGTCTGCTCCGTGTGTTTCCATGATTGGGAAGGGAAGGCAGCCAAACTCCAGTGTTCTCCCTGGAGGCTGAGTAAAGCTGCTGGATACATCAGACTGACAACACTCATCATCCTCTGGTGGGCCTGGAGGGCAGGTTCATCCACTCCCTGGAGCACACGGGTCACATCCTCGGGTCAAAGTCCTCCCTTGCCAGGACACACCTGAGTGTCTGATGTGCAGCACCAAATCTTCCTCAGAAGCTGAGTCCTTCTGCAGCAGCAGGTGTCATTGGCCCCAAAAGCCACAATGCCAGGGTGATCCCTCCCCTGGCATTATGTACACATTGAAAAAAACCAAATTAAAACAGCCATTCACACACAGAGGGCTCTATGGGCAACTTTGAGCTTTTCCTGCTGTTCATCAAACCTTCACTGATGAGCGTTTACAATTTTAAAATAAAATGGTTTTGTTTTCTTTTTTAAAAGAATAATTTCTACATTTCTGTCAGCCAACTAATCTCAATCACAGCATAATCTAAGAATAAAGCAAATCCTGGCCAAGAAGGGCTGCCAGGGACACTCAGGAGTCAGGGGGAGCAGCACAGCCCAGCTCCTCACATCCCTGCACCCCAGCCAGGAACCTGTGGTGGGTTTTTCTTTATCGTGATTCTCTTGCAGCTCAGGAATGATCCAGTCCTTGGGATGGCTGCACTTCCAGGGAGCAGGGGAGTGGAGAGGCCTCTGGGCAGCACCCAGTGTTAATGGCAGTGCTCTGTGATATCCACCACAACTGCCTTTTTCCAGCTGAAGAAGAAGTACCCGGTGCCAGCTCCCGCTGCCACGGCAATGCAGAGGTACCCGTTGTAGGTCATGAAGATCAGCATGAGGAAGTAGCTGACCACCACCTGGATGATGTGCAGCACAGTCTGCAGGAGGTGGGGGAAGCTCAGCATCTGCTGTCTGGGAACACAAACCCAAACGACAGTCAGCAAACAGGAGACAGGTGGGAAATGCCCATTCCCAAAGAACACTCGGCTCTGAGGCTGCCAGGGCAGCAAGGAGGGCATGAGATGGCAGAGAAGGTCACAACAGCCTGGACAGGGGCTCCTGCATGAACCTGGAGCTGAGGTTTTTCCCACAGAGCTGCCTGCTGGCAAAGCAAGCATGGAAGTTGCTGGGAGAACACAACTTTTAATGAGAAACAGACTTTGTCAAGCTTATTTTACCCCCCAT